TGTCATGTATCAGTGTATTCGCGCTCGCGCTGCGGTACAATCACTCAAGCGTAGTTACCTTCTGGAGGCGTGGAAATATCCATTTTTCTTAGGATTACTCGCTAGTGGTTCATGGATGAGCTAATGATTTATTAACGTAGTGGAATGAAGCAGGGTGAGGCTGAAAGTCGTCGAAGCGAAACAAGGCCACTGAACGAGCGTGACACACGGCTCGAAAGCAGCAGAGCTTTTATTATGCCACAGTCGACCGCTTCCGCTGCTTCCGGTCGTGTGTATGTGGGGTAAAGCAGCGCTGTTTTATCATACTAGATACATTTGAAAGTTCGGTTATAATGCTACTCCGTGTGGTCGTCACCGGTCTAATAAAACGCACAACATATTAAATACAGCAATATTTGCTGTTTCCATGTTTTCTACAAAACAAAATTCGAGGGGTTATGACGTCATTGGCAGGCGACACAATGACACGATGGACCCGGTCCGGGTCGCTAGTTAAAATTGCTTATTTCTCTGGATTTAAACATTCTTCGAAAAATTTGAGATAAAGTACGTACACAAGTCAGCAAAATATATAACACTTCTAGTGGATATTTTAATTAAAAAAAACTTACATATTGTGCCTTTAAGCATTTGCTTATTTAAATCCTGACTGAATTTTTATTTTATTTTATTTTTTTGTCCGGGCAGTGTAACAATAGCGTATGCTTGTAAATGAGGTCTAAAACGGTGCTTCTCAATCGGGGGGCTGGTGACCACTATAGGGGACTTAGCAAACTTCAAAGGGGAATTAAGAAGTCTAAATTATTTAAAATATTTAAGTTTATAAAACTCCAAGGCCCCCTTCATCCAAGATCCACATATATATATATATATATATATAGGCATGTTGTAATAAAAATAAGTAAAATAGTACATATGATTTTAATGTTTTCTTTTAGAATTTGAAAATAAGATTTTTTTGAATAATTTTACTGTTGCTTCTTCTAATCAATCAGCTTCACAATTTTTGGACCACTTGAAAAACAATAACGATTAAGGTGTGTTCTGGTATATATGGTTTATGAGGGCACAAATGTGTATAAAGACATAGTAAACATGATTTCTGAGGACACTTCCTGTGACCCCGTAAACCAAAAATGCTTTTTAAAAAAATAGTAAATGGTGTTTTTTTTTAACTCAAATAGTTTTCTGTAAGGGGTAGGTTTAGGTGTAGGGCGATAGAATGTACAGTTTGTACAGTTTAAAAACCATTACGCCTATGGAGAGTCCCCATAAACCACATATGCAAGAATGTGTGTGTGTGACCTATATATATACAGTGGGGCAAAAAAGTATTTAGTCAGCCACCAATTGTGCAAGTTCTCCCACTTAAAAAGATGAGAGAGGCCTGTAATTTTCATCATAGGTATACCTCAACTATGAGAGACAAAATGAGAAAAGAAAATCCAGAAAATCACATTGTAGGATTTTTAAAGAATTGGTAAATTCCTCTGTAAAATAAGTATTTGGTCACCTACAAACAAGCAAGATTTCTGGCTCTCACAGACCTGTAACTTCTTCTTTAAGAGGCTCCTCTGTCCTCCACTGGTTACCTGTATTAATGGCATCTGTTTGAACTTGTTATCAGTATAAAAGACACCTGTCCACTGTGTGAATCCTAGTTACCACGGGATGTTAATCCCGTGGCAAAAGACAGAGAAACAAATACAAACATAATTAGCGTAGCTGCTGTTCCAACCAAGCAAAAATGATTTGTTTAACCCAAACTAATGAATAATAATGTGCATTTGATTAGATATAACTGCAGTAAAAGATTATGACTGCAGTAAAAGATTATGAGATGCATTATTTGAATGCTTGGCCAAAGAGATGTGTCTTTAATCTAGATTTAAACAGAGAGAGTGTGTCTGAACCCCGAACGGTATCAGGAAGGCTATTCCAGAGTTTGGGAGCCAAATGCGAAAAAGCTCTACCTCCTTTAGTGGACTTTGCTATCCTAGGTACTACCAAAAGTCCAGAGTTTTGTGACCTTAGGGAGCGTGATGGATTGTAGCGTGGTAGAAGACTAGTTAGGTATGCAGGAGCTAACCCATTAAGGGCCTTATAGGCAAGTAATAATATTTTGTAACTGATACGGAACTTAATAGGTAGCCAGTGCAGAGACTGTAAAATTGGTGTAATATGATCATATTTTCTTGACCTGGTAAGGACTCTAGCCGCTGCATTTTGGACTACCTGTAGCTTGTTTATTGAAGATGCAGGACAACCAGCTAGCAGTGCATTACAGTAGTCCAGTCTAGAGGTCATGAATGCATGAACTAGCTTTTCTGCATCAGAAACGGGTATCATGTTTCGTAACTTGGCAATGTTTCTAAGATGGAAGAATGCTGTTTTTGTAACATGGGTAATATGATTTTCAAAAGACAAGTTGCTATCTAATATAACACCCAGATTTTTGACTGTAGAGGAAGTAACCGTACATCCGTCTAGTTGCAAATTGTAATCCACGAGATTCGTTGTACTGTCTTTTGGTCCAATAAGTAATATCTCTGTCTTATCCGAATTTAATAGGAGAAAATTATTGGTCATCCAATCTTTTACATTTTTAACACACTCTGTTAGATTTAGAAATTTAGAAATTTCATCTGGTCTTGTTGAGATATATAGTTGAGTATCATCGGCATAACAGTGGAAACTAATCCCTAATTATATTATAATATTACCAAGTGGCAACATGTATATCGAAAATAGCAGAGGACCTAGGACAGATCCTTGTGGCACTCCATATTTTACTGGTGATATTTGAGATGACTCCCCATTTAAATGAACAAGGTGGTAGCGATCGGACAGGTAGGATCTAAACCATCTTAAAGCCTGCTCTTGAATACCTGTATAGTTTTGTAATCGATCTATGAGTATGTCATGATCTATAGTATCGAATGCAGCACTAAGATCAAGTAAAACTAGCAATGAGAGACAGCCTTGGTCTGACGCAAGAAGTATGTCATTTGTAATTTTAACAAGTGCAGTTTCTGTGCTATGGTGGGGCCTGAAACCTGACTCTCTGTGGTCCTGATTTAATCCTGAACTCTCCTCCATGATCCACACTATTTAATTTTTTTTAATCTATCATAAACAGGCAAAATTAAGTAACCCTTTTAAATTGCAGAAAATTCTGGAGCGGGTATATACATATATACAGTTGAGGTCAAAAGTTTACATCCCCCTTTCAGAATCTGCAAAAGGTTAATTATTTTACCAGAATAAGAGGGATCGTACAAAATGCATGTTATTGTTTAGTTAGTACTAACCTGAATAAGATATTTCACATAAAAGACTTTTACGTATGGTCCACAAGAGAAAATTATAGTTGAATTTATAAAAATGACCCCGTTCAAAAGTTTACATACACTTGATTCTTGCCTGAATGATCGACAGCCATTTTTTTTTTGTTTAGTGATAGTTGTTCATGAGTCCCTTGTTTGTCCTGCACAGTTAAACTGCCTGCTGTTCTTCAGAAAAATCCTTCAGGTCCCACAAATTCTTTGGTTTTCCAGCATTTTTGTGTAGTTGAACCCTTTCCAACAATGATTTTGAGATCCATCTTTTCACACGGACAACTGAGAGACTCATATGCAACTATTACAGAAGGTTCAAATGCTCAGTGATGTTCCAGAAGGAAAAACCATGCATTAACCGGGGGGTGAAAAAAATCCCAGGATGGCAACGACGATGATGACCGTACTTTATCACAATCATCATCTTCCAGTCGCCACTCAGACTCTTCCTCGAGGTCTAGCTCGTCCAATGCAATGGTAACACACGGCCCCAGTTCTGACAGTCACTTGAAGGAGGTTGCAATTACAGACTCAGGCAGATGGACTAACTTACACATGGTCTTCTGGTAGGTTTACATTATCTGATACTTCAGGCCAGCCAGACTATTTTTTGGGGGGTGTTCCTCAGGGTTATAGTTTAGGACCACTTTGTTCTTGTTCTGCGAAAAATGTATTTGGGACAAGCACTCACCCAAATCATATTTCATATTAAAATCAAAATGTTATTTATTATTTGTTTGCATTGTGACTATTTTCATGACATTTAAGCACATTTTGCTCCAAACTCCCATTACCATAATGCAAAAAACCTGGACATGTTTTTGTGAGATCCACCCATTTATGTTGTCAATTGTTTCAGGCATGGCTGCCGTTGGTCCATCACTGGGCATGACGTACATGGACCCCCACCCCAATAGCCAGTCACACAGTCAGCACTGAAACCATCGAGAGTGAGTACACAATATGAACTACACGCTTTACGTCTGAATAACCCTGAACCTAGGAAACATGAATTTCTCAAGTGGTTATTATAAAGAATCAGAACATTTCAGTCACTGAGGAAATCCTTTTCTTACTAGCTCATTATCTTCCATGTTAACAGGTTTGACGGCATACAGTCCCGCTGTTTTTGCACTCAACGACGTTGCTGCAGCAGTTGGATCTCACTAGAGCATTCATCGACTCCACCAGACGTCACTACACGTCAGTGATTGAGTCACTGGGACCTGCTGATTACAAATACACCACACTAGAGGTTACTAAAGAGGTAAAAATTTGACGAGTAACGAAAATGAGGCTGTGAGGGTTAGACAAACAGCGGTTGTAGTTTATATATCAAACATTTTTTTAGATTTCTTCAATATCTTTAGTGTTTACTAACAGGACTTTTTCTTGTTCTAGTTTATTCACGCTCACAGGCCGCCCAAACTGAGTATAGAAGACGCTTTAGAAGAAGTTCTACAGGAAATGAGAGACTATCATTAGTTGAATGAACAGATAATCAATGTTTTGGATGCATCGTCCACAAATCATAAACAGCCAAAATAAATTCAATCATTGTTCATGCAATAACGTACTTAAATAAACCAGCATTTTTCAGTATCTGTTCATCGTGCTTTACTTTAATCATTCATGCATAAATAAAATGTTTACATAAACACTGCCCTTTTTAAAGTGTCTATTTTGCTTGAACAGAGTCTCAGATTAATCAAAGGAAACGCTTGCAATGACACTGACACCACTGCGTTACAGTATGATGCTTGGATACATTTTACTACAAAAAGGAACCAAGGGCAAGATAAAACGTCCAAACAAATGTGAAAAACTGCTTTATGACATCTACAGTAAAAATACAGACCATGTGTAATGGGTGATCACTCTGTGCTGGAGGGATCCTGTGGGTCAGACCCAGCAGGGCCTGAACCCAAACCAGATGTGGAGCTGCGGAGAGACCATATTTCATTTACTTACATTTATTAGGTGAAATGATCATTATCAGCCAAAATCTGCATTCATTTTTATGCATTTATTTTAATTTAAATAAATAAAAAAAAATTTATGTCAGATGGCATGACTGCAATAATTAAACCAATAATCATAATTTTTTTTAAATTTTCAATCCTGCAGCACAACAACAAATTTAGCTTTAGTCCCAAAATTTGACTTATGAAGGTCAAAACTGACCAAATAATAATAATACATAAATAAATTCAATCATAAACATTGCAATCTGGATGGGCAAAATTTTTTTTGCAATTATTTTCAAATTTTGTTTTAGTAACAATATTTAACTTATAAAGGTCAAAATAAATGGGGAGAAGATTTGTGACCAAAAATACAATAATAGACTTTGTAATGGGATTTTGTAGGATGGGATTAGATAAAAATTTCGGAACCCCTAATCAAGGTTATTATAGTTTTGAATTTTAGGCTAATAAATAAATTCTAAACTTCTCTGAAGACTTCTCAGTTCCCCTCAGAAACACATTCATATAAACCCCCAAATCAATATTGAGGATTTTCTTCCAATAGTTTGTGCATCATGAACAGTGAGTGATCTGCCTGCTACAGTATTTTTCTCTGTGTCCGTCTTCAGCATCTCTGGCCTGTGTTAACGGGCGTTTACAGACTTCATATTTTCACGTAAATGACATTTGGAAAATGGTATGCATTGCAACGCAGTTTGTGCAACAGAGATCGGCTGCAATAAAACAATAAACGGCCGGTTGCCGATCGTGTAAGTTCCAGAGGAAGCTCCTTCGGCCGTCATACACACACACACACACACACACCCGTGACTGACCGCTCGCTCGCACCAACAGTTTTGAAACCGTGACATTTTCAAATCGCGGTATACCTTGAAACCGGTAATCGGCCCATGCCTAACCTGATGTAATGGATTTAATGCTGGTGTGGTTCGGGTCGTGACTCGCAGTCTTAATGTCAAACGGTTCTGGTTTGGTACAGAATTAATTAATTCATTAATTAAATTAGTGCTGCTGTTGGATAACGGGTCGAGTGTTCTGTTAAGTACTGCTGGTGCACGTTTACCAAACAGGACCCGTGCAGGACTGTTCTCTCTGTCAGATAACCTCACGTGTACGATGCGCCATTCACAGCTCATATATTTTTCCGCCAAGGGGTGAGAACGTAATGATTACGAAAAAGATTATTTATTTTTGATAATTATTTTATTTCAGTTCGTTTTTCAATAACTGTTGTTTCGTTTCATTTTAGTTTTCCAATTATTTTGTCATTTTTATATTATTTCAGTTTACGAAATAGTTTTTTCATTAAGCGTTTTCGTCTTAGTTTTAGTTTTCGTTTACGAAAATAACCTTGCCCCTAATGAGTGGAAAAAAATAGGTCATTTGCTCCGTAATTTTTACTGATATTTTTTTTAACAAAATTTTACAAAATAAAAATGTCAGTTACTCTTTTTGAATTACTTTATGATTAATCAAAAAAATTATAAAAACAAATAAAATAAAAATATCAAATAAACGTAAAAAAAATAAAACTGATGCAGACAGGATCACAAAAGAAAAAAAAAAAAAAAGTGCTTTTCAAATGCGAACTTGATTTGGGGTAACAAAGGCAGATCGACTTACGCTGGTGTTGGACTGCGTGATTTTGCAGCGTCACGACGCTTGTCTGGAGATCGTGATCTGGAGCGAGATCTGGAGCGGGAGAGACTTCGGGACCTGGATCTGGAGTGACTCCTGCTCCTACGGGAGAAAGTCAAAAATGTGTAAAAAAAAAAAAATTTATAATAATAAAAACACAATAAAACAAATAAAATAAACCATTAAATAATACAAATATCAAATAAACGTAAAAAAATGGATTTGGGTAACAAGAGGGCCTTTCGCACCACAGGAACCTTTTCATAGTACCAGAACTAATTGTGGAACTACGCACTTTTTGGCGTTTTCGCACCGCCGGAACTGGGTGCGATTTTAGTACCGGACTGCCTTTTTCGAGAACCAAATTAGCTCCTACTCCGGAGCAGGGTCTAACCAGCAAAACTGGTACTAATCGTGACGTAAGTAGACATTGATTGGCCAAACGCATATGAAAACGCCCTCACCCGCCATGATTTAAAACGCCGTGTAAACATACTGTAAACATTGTGTCGACTTAGTACACACTCTCGGTGCAAATGCAACCCTTTAAATAGTACTGGGAAATAGTTTTGCGCAAAATCGTCCCAGTACTTTAGTACTGTACATTTAGTGCTGGAACTAAAGCGGTGCGAAAGGCCCTAAGGTAGCTCGACTTACGCTGGTGTCGGACTGCGTGATTTTGCAGCATCACAACGCTTGTCTGGAGATCGTGATCTGGAGCGAGAGCGACTTTGGGACCTGGATCTGGAGTGACTTCTGCTCCTACGGGAGAGAGTCAAAAATGTGTAAAAACAATTCTAAAAACACAATAAAACAAATAAAATAAACCATTAAATAATACAAATATCAAATAAACGTAAAAAAATAAAATAAAAAAAACGGATGCAGACAGGATCACAAAACAAAAAGTGCGAAACTGGATTTGGGTAACAAGAGGGCCTTTCGCACCACAGGAACCTTTTCATAGTACCAGAACTAATTGTGGAACTACCCACTTTTTAGCGTTTTCGCACCGCCAGAACTGGGTGCCATTTTAGTACCGGACTGCCTTTTTCGAGAACCAAATTAGCTCCTACTCCGGAGCAGGGTCTAACCGGCACAACTGGTACTAATCGTGACGTAAGTAGACATTGATTGGCCAAACACGTATGAAAACGCCCTCACCCGCCATGATTTAAAACGCTGTGTAAACATACTGTAAACATTGTGTCAACTTATTTTGCAAGTATGGAGAACAGCGATAGATGGACGGACGCTGAAGTGCAGGCACTTGTAGCAAATGTAGCAGAGATTCTTAGTCCTCCTTTCCGTTCTTTCAATCGCTTTACGTATACGTCGACTTTCCATGTCCATTATTGTGTGAGACACAACAAACACACAGCTGCGATCACAGCGTCCTCCATCCTCCTGTTGTTAATGTTGTTCTTTGTTTCTGTTGTTGAACGCCGCGCACAAATGACGATGCTGTCGTCCAGCTTACGTCCCTTCTTAGTACACACTCTCGGTGCGAATGCAACCCTTTAAATAGTACTGGGAAATAGTTCGCGCAAAATCGTCCCAGTACTTTAGTACTGTACATTTAGTTCTGGAACTAAAGCGGTGCGAAAGGTGTCGGACTGCGTGATTTTGCAGCGTCACAACGCTTGTCTGGAGATCGAGATCTGGAGTGAGAGTGACTTCGGGAGAAAGTCAAAAATGTGTAAAAAATTTAATAAAATAATAAAAACAATAAAACAAATAAAATAAACTATCAAATAATATAAATATCAAATAAACGTAAAAAAAAACTGATGCAGACAGGATCACAAAACAAAAAAAAATTCCTTATCAAATGCGAACTGGATTTGGGTAACAAGGTAGCTCGACTTACGCTGGTGTCGGACTGCGTGATTTTGCAGCGTCACAACGCTTGTCTGGAGATCGTGATCTGGAGCGAGATCTGGAGCGGGAGCGACTTCGGGACCTGGATCTGGAGTGACTCCTGCTCCTACGGGAGAAAGTCAAAAATGTGTAAAAAAAATTCTAAAAACACAATAAAACAAATAAAATAAACTATCAAATAATAAAATATCAAATAAACGTTAAAAAAACAATTTGATGCAGACAGGATCACAAAAAAAAAAAAGTGCTTTTCAAATGCGAACTGGATTTGGGTAACAAGGTAGCTCGACTTACGCTGGTGTCGGTTCGCGTGAATTTGCAGCGTCACGACGCTTGTCTGGAGATCGTGATCTGGAGCGAGATCTGGAGCGGGAGCGACTTCGGGACCTGGATCTGGAGTGACTCCTGCTCCTCCGGGAGAGTGTCAAAAATGTGTTCAACAACAATGTCAAAGCAGATATTTTTTTGGGATACCGAGAGCGAGATCTGGAGTAGGAGCGAGAACGAGAGCGGGATCTGGAGTAGGAGCGAGAACGAGAGCGAGATCTGGAGTAGGAGCGAGATCGGGATCTGGAGCGAGAGGATTTGGAAGACCTGGAGCTGGAGCGTGACGTGGATCGTTCCCGGCTGCACGTCCGACTGCGCGAAGGACTCCCTTGGGTGCTGCCAAAAAAATCATCACGTGAAATGTTACTGAGGAAACAATGGGAACGAGTTTTGTTTGGTCACATCTGAATTCAAGTGTTATTTTAGTATTAGTAGAACACTATAATACAGTTTATTAATATTTTTTATTAGCTTTTAGTTTTATATTTTCAGTTTTCCTTTTAATTTTAGTTGCGTTTTGTCATTTTATTAAGCTTTTTTGTTAGTCAGTTTGTTTATACTTCAGTTTTAGTAATTTTAACATACCATTATAGTATTTAAATATATTAAGAAATATATTCTTAGATGCGTGTTTAAGTTTCAGCCCCTTTTTAAGGTGATTTTTGGATTCTTTGATGATTTTCAAAGGTTGTGGTTAAGTGATGTGAAATACTGCCATTCTTTTTCTATCCTCTCTCTTTTCCTTAGTTTGTTACATTATATATATATATATATATATATAAATGTGTGTGTTTTGCTTAGTTATATGTTAGATATAATTTCATTTATTAAATCCCTTATATTCACCACTGATTGTCTCTGTTTGCTGCTCACAATTCGAAGTCAATGAATGTGTGAACCCTTGCTACATTTGCTAAATTACTGCTAGCACTGCACAAAGAAGGACTGTTTATTCTTCCTTGGCCAGGAAAATAATCGTTTCTTGAATTGATAAATGATTATATTGTCTGCTCGGTGGATGGACAGATCAAATAATTGTAATATTGATTCTGCTACCGTTAATTCGAAGATATAATCTAAATATTTATTATTAAACACAACCAGTTATAATTAGTCATAAATATTTCCCTTTTAGGGCTGAAAAACCCTACATTGGTCACATCTGAATTAAAGTTTTATTTAAATATTAGTGACTAATGGTCAAAGATTCGATGCTTCAAAAGGAGGACCCTGATTCGACTACCAATCTCACAGTCGAATATTCGCGGGTGTTATGATCATGCCATTTTGCCTATATGGGGGTGCTCAATTGTATGATTTCACATAGAACTACTGATTTTCTCTCAATAAGTTAATATACAGCCTATTAAGATGCTGTAAATAAGAATCTGAAAAGAAAGAAGCTTTAAATAAATATTTTAATGTGCGTGACTAAATCCAACCACCCCTATAGATTTAAGTTTCACTTTCCATAACCCGTGACCGACAGAGGAGCATCTTGGCAGCAGGGATTTAAATCTTTAACAAGACTCAAACTGACAGACGAGTGAAAGACTGGATTTTTTCGATCAGGTAGGGTACAGGTGATTTCTGCTAAATGACTGGGACTGTCATATACATAACATTATAATGAGAACACTATTATAATAAAATGCTGTGAATTTTTAGAGTTTAGTTGCCATGTTTCTGCATGTTGTTGCGTGAAAAATGCGTCCACAAAAGGAGTTCATGTGCATTCGGGGCATTTTGTGCAGATAGCCTATACGTCGTAATATTAACGTTATGTTATATAAATAACGAAGCGTATTCTATATGAGATAAATCTCATTGATTTATCAAATACTTCATTCTACTGGTGATCTTCAGCACGCGCAGCTCAAAACAGAAATGCAGAACATTAATAACTACTGTCATGTACATAACGTTATAATGAGAGCACTATTATAAACAATTTTGTGAATTCTTAGGGTTTCGCTGATGTTTAATGTGAGATATGGGAACGATTACTGCGTCTGCTAAGACGCTATGGGAAAACTCATTTTCTCCGAATACTGAAGCCTTTCAATAACGCAGTGTAACTGCACGGCCATTGGCGACGAAGCCCGCCAGAGCCTGCCAGAATGGGCGGGGCATCTGGCTATATAAGTGGCATTTTGTCATAGGATCCTCAGGTTACTTAGACTGAAGCATGACTGAATCATGCAGCTACATAGCACAACCAGCAACGCAGTACTCGTTCCTGTATCTCAGGGAACCGAGGTTATGTTAGTAACCGAGTACGTTCCCTATCGATACCTCACTCGGACTGCGTCTGCTAAGACACAAAGTGGAACCAGTACAATCCTGCTGTGCTATGCTAGAGGAACGACTAATACTTGAACTTGCCTTGAGCACCATTGTGGCCCAGAACGACCAAGTATTTTTCAGGGAAGCCCCCCAAGAGGCGATAGGGCCAAAACTCACAGAGGTCGGCCTGGTGCCGAGTAATTGTTCCAAGATAAACTGTACAGCCTCGGAACCCAGTGGGGGCCAAGAGCGTACAGTGAAGGCGGCAAACGCCTGAAGCACTGGTTTTGCCATATGGCTAGAGTAAGTCAGTTTAAGCAGAAAATCTCCCAGACTCTTTGAACCATACGTTGGTGGAGCATCCACTCTTCTGAGGGGACGTTGCTCCGAGATAGCATGTCTGCTCCTTGGTTCAACATGCCCGGCACATGCGCTGCCCTTAGCGAATGCCAGGCCTCAGCCCCCGTGACAAGGGGTTGGATTTATTTGAGTGGCTAGTTGCTGTATGGGGACCTCACACTCAGAAGAGGAAATTTGCTCTCTTTTGAAAATGCTTTCAAAAAAAAATTTCTCTAGACTTAATGCTCTCGTAGCGAGAGCAGTCAGCCCTTGAGCATGCTGCCTCAGCGTGGGTGTGGACCAGACGCATCCAATTTGAAGCTGTCAGTGATAATCATTAGTGACAGCATTCTCTTTTAATCTGCCTAAAAAAAATCTAACCGCTCATTAGAAGAGTACTGATGATCTTTGTGTAAACACTCAGGCAGATCAAAAGTGCTGCGCGCATTCTCTCAGATCCTCTCGTAGCGGACGAGGGGCAGGGCCGCCGTCATTGAAGAGGGCGAGCCGCGAGCAAAGCAGAGCGAGAGATGAACTCTCATAGTGAGAGCGGTCTGTCAGCGAGCGCAGTCTCAGCGTAGGCATGGCCTAGGCGAGAGGCGCATTCAAATACGAACCTGTCAGCGATATTGAATCATTGGTGACAGCATTCTGCATGATCCTCACGTGGAGAGTAATGCACGCAGGGGCTTTACCGGCATTAAATCACTCAAGCCTGATCGTTCAACCCCGCGAGTTCGCCATTTCTTCCTCCGAGTAACAGGGAGGAGAGAAACACAAGAGCGGGGGAGGCGGGGCTCAGCGACGCATACACAAATGTGAAGCTGTCCGCGTCCTGCTTCGATCTGCTTAGGAGGATTAAGCTGCTTGATGTAACAAGGGGCGCTGATCCTCACTTGTAACACACTGGCGGATCAAGCACGCATTATGTGTGCCGGCATGAAATTGCTCAAGCCTGATCGCTCAACCCGCGAGCTCGCCGTTGCTTCCTCCGAGGTAACTGGGAAGAGAGAAACATGAGAGCGCATTCTTCCACGAATGAACAGGGGCAGACTGCTTTCATGGTAAAAGCAGCCCGTCTTTGTGAGCGCAGCAATAGCGACACACACACAAATTAGAAGCTGCCAGTGACAGCGTTCTGCTCAGATCCACTTAGGAGGATAGAGCCACTCTATGTAACGAGGGGTGCGGATTGAAGCACAGCGGGGAGAGCGACCACGCAGGCTCTGTGTCGGTGTGAGATCGCTCAGACCCAGTTTGCTTAGCTCCCTGACTCTGCTGTTTCACTCTCCTGAGAGAGGAGAAACGTGAGCGCGTGGCTGCCTTCAATGAAGGCGGTCCGCAAGTGGAGAAGAGCGAGACTCATGCTCTCAGCGAGAACATTCCATCTCAGTGAGCATGCAGTCTCTGCATGGGGGCTGCCCAGACAGTTGACGCCCTCACTGCCATTCTGCATCGTGCAAGATTCCCTGCACGAGCCACACTCGTAGCGCGACATTTGCAACAACGTCACTAGAAATTTAGCTCTTTTAGAACTTGCCTCTTAAAAATAAGCTCTTTTAGGCTCGCCGGATGGCGGAAGGGGATCAGCTGGGACCGCTGCTGCTGCATCGCTGAAGGTGGTGTTGAAGCGGCGAATCAGCCAAGCAGAGGGTCGCTGGTTCAGCTTGATCCACTGCGAAGGCGATTCTATGCCGAGAGGCTTCGAGTCTCATAAATCAGCTTAGAACGACGTCGTTGCTGAAGGAGAAGAAATCTGAGGATCCTATGGCGAAGTGCCGCTTATACAGCCAGATGCCCGGCCCATTCTGGCAGGCTCTGGTGGGCTTCATCACCATTGGTTCGTTTTTTTTATTTACTGCACGAACCAATGGCCATGCAGTTACACTGCGTTATTGAAAGGCTTCAGTATTTGGAGAAAAAGGAGTTTTCCCATAGCGTTTTAGCAGACGCAGTACGAGTGAGGTATCGATAGGGAACTACCTTTTAATCAAAACATTATTTTTGCATCTGCGAGGCGTTCGTTACACATTTTCCCTGTGCGTCAGTAATTATGACTGTCCAGTGTCTGATTTGGCTTTTGGTAATGTATTTTGCCCCCCCACCCCCAAACATATGATTCGACTATTGGCAAGATTCAAAAATTCCGATTCGACTATGAAAATCCTTAGTCAGGGACACCCCTAAATATTAATAGTATACTATAATATTATTTAGAATTAATATTACTACTTTATATTATTTTAAAACATTTATATTATTTATAGTAATATTTATGTTTTATATATTTTTTATTGAAATTTTAGTTTAGGTCTTACTAATTTTGTTGTTTTTGTATTATTTCGTTTTTATGCATTTTATTTTAGATTTAGTATAGTATTATAGTATTTATTAATATTTTGAATCAGGTTTTAATTTTTAGATTTTCAGTTTTTATATATTACTATTACAATAACTAAAACAAATGTATAAATCTAATTTTTCAGAACAGCAAAATTACACTAATAAAATACACTAACATTAATATTTATTGCCATCTTAATTTCTTTCAAACATAAACCCTTGTATTTACGCAATTCAGGATGGAAAAATGGAAATTTGTAGAAATATAGAAAAAAAACTATTTAATATCAAACAAAGACTTGTGTACATTTTTCATGAAATCAGAGTCATTTTTAACTCTAGTAGTATTCCGAACAGAAAAGCTGAGGTCTCACCTCCTGGGAAGTCTCCCTGTGGGTAGTCGAATCGGTGCGGTGGATATGGCAGCCGTTCTAAATGATGCCGCGGAGGAAACTCGTGCTGCATGAAGCACGGCGGAAAGTGTCCGAAGTTGTGTGGTGGCGGCGGCTGGTTGAACGGCAGATCCTGCATGCGGAAGGGAGGCTCCCTCTGGCCCCATGGCGGCGGTTGATCCGGCTGGCTGCTCCACGGCGGCTGGTCAAACTGACCACTCCAGGGGCTTGCGGGGCCCCCATCCCAAGGGCCACTCCAGTTGGGGTACCGCTGCTCATTCCACATGCCCTTGTAGCTGCTCCAGGGCGGCCAGGGCGGCCAGGGGGGCAGGGCTTGAGACGGGTCGAATGGTGGCTGGAGGCGGAAACATATATTAGTAGATGAAAATTACAGGCCTCTCTCATCTTTTTAAGTGGGAGAACTTGCACAATTGGTGGCTGACTAAATACTTTTTTGCCCCACTGTATATAGTGCTGGATTGAATATTTAAATAAGTAAAATACAAAATTTTAAGATGGTCAAAGACATTTTTAATCTGAAAACAATGCAAAAAAAATGACACGGCAATAGGTGTCTACTTGATTTTTATTTGGAAATTAAATTGTAATCCATTACCGATTTCAAATTACGTTATGAAAATTGTAATTAGTAACAATCTATTGCACTACTTTTTTGATTACTTTTAGATAGGGCTGGGTGATAAATTGATAACGATAATTATCGTGTGACAAATTTCCTCGATAAACAATAACAAGCATTCGATATAATGCTTATGAGGAAAAGGAGGGAAAAAAAGAGCGCTAGTCATTTTAAGCGCGCCACTCGGACCGTTTATGCGCTCGGATCAAAGTTCATACAGCGGCGCAAGCTTCACTAGAGCAGATGCGTTCACTCGCTGATGAATCTCGCTCAAACAACACTGAACAGTGCTATGAGATCCAGTGTGAAGTGCTTGAATTCAGCGAGGAACACAAATAACTCAGTTTACAGCATAGACTGTAAAAAAAAAAAACATGGACGTAGTGTCCGTGACGTCACTCATAGTTTTTTGAAGAGCATTTTAGAAGCCTAAAGTGGGCGGAGCCGACCGCCACCATCTTGGCAAAGCATCACCGCGCATCACTCCCGGATAATCGAAAATGGGCAAAAAGGCGGGACATGGGTGAAGCTGAGGTGCCTGGTTGCTGAAACCATGCCTGTCTATAGTGACATAAGTGCTGCCGTGCTAAGACAAAACACCATAACTTCGTTTTTGGTCGAAAATGAGTTATTGATAATTTTGGGACATATATGACCTCCTTTATCATGTGTATAAGTATCTTGGAGAAAAGCCCCGGAGAAACCAAGGCCGAACACAGTAACATCAGTTACCGCTCTTTGATTTTGTTTTAGATCGCTCAAATTAAGTTACGGTGCTCTGCATTTGTTTAGCCGTTTGTCAATATTACTGTGCCGGCCTGGAGTTATATGGTATTCTCCTGCCTTTGTTTTACTGTCCATTAAAGTCTGCACGTGTGAGGAGTCAAATGCCATGACAGCGCATCACATAAAATCAGTAACTGTTCACAATCAAATCCATTTCCTACCTTTTCTTGTAACTCGATAAAAAACATTGCAATGAACGTCATCGGAGATGTTTAATTCACAATCATTCTAAGCATTATTCCTGCTGGCGTTCACATTAATCCACAAGTCGTTCTTATAGGTTAAATAATTTTCATTTAGTTCGATGTAAAAACAATAGGCTAAGTATGTCTTGCATCCATTAATGTTAGCGAACATTGCAAATAAATTGGTTGCAAAACGGCATCCACTCAAGTTTAACTTTTTGTTTGGTTGTTACGTTCAGAGAAATTATATAAAAATGTAATCACATTACTATATGTTATAGCCTAGCCAATGATCATTAGATTTTATACAGATGTTACTATAATGATTCTGTAAATGGTGATCAGCACCCAAATATTGTATATAATGTGGAAGCTACTGCCTTTTGCCTTGGCGTGACATCTCACTTTTTGCAGACAGTGCAAAGGCAGAGTACCTACAATAACTTCAAAATAGCGGTAAAAATCAAGTTTGAGATCATTTTCATTAAAACATCTAATTGCCAGGTTTCCAGTGTCCTACCCATAATTAATTTTTCTGATAAATAAAAATCTTTAAAGCCATTTTTCTAAGTTTCACACTCTGGAGCAGAGCGGCAGTCCACCTGTCACTTAAGTGGCCACGACCTTAATTATGCAGAACTTTAAGGCTTAATATAATTTAAACGTATGAGTTTTAAAAAAATTCATATATTAAAAAATTCACCCCCCTCACATTTGTCATGAAGGTCATAATTACCTATATAGAACGAAACCACTTTTTGTACCAGGCTGTAAACATGTTTTTTTTCTGCTGTAAAGTTGGGCATTTCAACATGGCAGGTCTATGGGACTGACTCCCTTTTGGAGCCAGCCTCTAGCAGCCAGTCGATGAATTGCAGTTTTAGTCACTTCCGTATTGGTTTCAAGCGAGAGACCGGGAGGTTGACGCTTGGTTTACATCCAGATGAAACAGCGCTGACAAACAGCACAAACACTGTGCGCAACGATACAGTCAGAAGACTTTAATCTACAAATCACCATCATTTACCACGGATTTACTGTAGTAACACTAACTGCACCATGGTATTGTGTCAGAAATGTGGGTATTCATGTCGAATTTGATTATATTACTAATGTAGACATGTATTAAATACATTGAAGGAGGAGTAATTTTTGTGATTAAGTCATATTTTGTGATTAAGCTAAGCTATAGCGTTTATGCGTTTATACTAAATGTATTTAGTCTACTGTTTTTCATACAAATACATAGAACCCATATTACATTTTTACCATGGTATTAAGGTGCTATATTTGTGGTTTTAACTGATTATCATGATCTAAATATATGCTACTAAGGAAGACCAATGGTTTTAAAAAAAATAAATAAATAAAATAAAAATTGCTCCTCAAACAGTCAGAATAATGAAATTTCACCATATAAAAATGAGATTGCTACCATTTTTACAGATATTACTGATTTTGATAATGAACATAAATCTACAGTGTTTCTGAGAGACAAAAATGTTTTATATTATTATCAGGCAACACAAACCTGTTTCTTGATTTGAAACAATATCACTCACTAGAACACGCAGAACTAAGAAATAATTTTTTCTATTAAGATATTTATTTTGTTAAGGAAAAATGACTGGAAAAGTGTAAAGAATTATGAAGTTTGTCGTGTTCTGATCATATCATATTTTGTGATTAAGCTAAGCTATAGCGTTTATGCGTTTATACTAAATGTATTTAGTCTACTGTTTTTCATACAAATACATAGAACCCATATTACATTTTTACCATGGTATTAAGGTGCTATATTTGTGGTTTTAACTGATTATCATGATCTAAATATATGCTACTAAGGAAGACCAATGGTTTTAAAAAAAATAAATAAATAAAATAAAAATTGCTCCTCAAACAGTCAGAATAATGAAATTTCACCATATAAAAATGAGATTGCTACCATTTTTACAGATATTACTGATTTTGATAATGAACATAAATCTACAGTGTTTCTGAGAGACAAAAATGTTTTATATTATTATCAGGCAACACAAACCTGTTTCTTGATTTGAAACAATATCACTCACTAGAACACGCAGAACTAAGAAATAATTTTTTCTATTAAGATATTTATTTTGTTAAGGAAAAATGACTGGAAAAGTGTAAAGAATTATGAAGTTTGTCGTTTTCTGATCATAAAGAATAGTTTAAAACCACAATTAACCGTCTGGTTTTTACAACTTCCACATTAGAGCAAAAAATCTGCCTTTAAACTTGAAAGAAATAAAAAAATTGACATTTATCGTGATAATTATCGATATCGACTGATACGAAAAAATTATTATCGTGATCATCGATAATAGCCCAGCCCTACTTTTAGATTATTTTTACTTCTGACCTAATTCGTTCATCAAATTGATTTGAATGAGATAAACTCGTTCTATATTGATATAAAAATACCAAGAGAAAGAACACATTTGTTATCAACAACATAATGTGTAATAAACATTTTCAGAGGAAATAACATAGGGTTTAAAAGCTGTTTAACTTAATTAAATTGTAAAAATGTAATATAACCATTTATAAATGGTACAAATATTTCTAAAATAAATAAAAGTGGATAATCTTTTAGAATGAAAAATTTAAAAGACGAACAATTTACTGACATTGCACAAGTAAAATGTAAGCAATAACATAGTAACAGTAATCGGATTATGAACATTTTAAAACATAGTATATTCTAATTACAAATACCTTATATTTGGAATCAGAGTATGTAATCAGTATCAGTTACTGAGTTAGTATTAATACACAGCTGCACACAGTATAAGAACTGTAAGGTATTGAAGTGTTTTTTCACTCACAGGTTGTTGCGGGTTCCACACCGGCATGCTCTGCTGTGGAGCAAACCATCCGGCCAATGGAGGCATCAGATCTCCTGAAAAAAACAAAAAATACAAAATTGCTGCTTTGCTAAAGATACATGCATACATCTCCTTCGATTAAAGATAATGGCTAGTGTGGTGGCTGCGATATACATAAACCTAGCAACATCAGTCACCATGACTTAATGGTTAATGGAAACGCTGTCATTTCGCAATACTCTTTTTATCGACATTTGTAAAATATTGCAAAATTTTGGGCAAATCTGTAATGGAAATGCACATATTGTGTTTAAGTGTTTGGTCTAGTTATGTGACGCTACCCCTGTAGTCATAACAAATCACCTCATAAAGACTAATAAAGACTAATAAACTAAAAAAAAAAAAAAGGGCAGAAAATGATCAAAAAGAAAGATGTTCGGAAATGATGTCACATGACCACCCATAAAATAATCATCACAGCAAACTGGAGAATAAAAACACATTATGTAAAAACTGACATATGCAAACTGGTGTTGGAAAGCTTTTAGATTTTCTTTTTAAAATAAGTATTTTCTGCTCATCAAGCTACACTTATTTGACCAAAATTACAGTCAAAAGAGTAAAATTGCAAAATATTATTACAATTTAAAAGTACCATTTTTTTATGTGACTATGTTAAAATGTTATTTATTTCTGTGATCAAAGCCGAATTTTCAGCAACATTACTCCAGTCTTCAGTGTCACATGATCCTTCAGAAATCATTCTAATACGCTGATTTGCTGCTCAAAAAACATTTCTGATTATTATCAATGTTGAAAACAGTTGCCCTGCTCATATTTTTGTGGAAACCGTGATACATTTTATTTTTCAGGATTCACAGATGAATAGGAAGTTGGAAAGAACAACATTTAATTGAAATAGAAATCTTTTGTTACATTATAAATGGCTTTTACAGTCACTTTCAATCAATTTAATGCATCCTCGCTGAATAAAAGCATTACAATTCTGACCCCAAACACGTCAAATGTTTTTACCACGCTGACCTAACACTTACTTCAGATTATTAAAAACGAAGAAAAAAATGTATTTAAAAACTGACATTATAATACATAAAATATATATATAATAAAAAAATTAAATGGCTTATTAAAACATATTATAAATCATATTATTTAAAAAAAATATACATTATTTAATGTATTTTTTACCAGGCAGAGAGGTCACTGCCACCGTCTGCTGCTGCTTCAGATTGTTCACAAACTCCTCGTGCTGCGTCTTCAGCACCTGGATCTGCTGCTGGAAGGCCATCTGGACGGGCTGCACCACCGGCGCGTACTCCGTGATGAGCAACGCCTGGACCAGACACAACAGAGACAGGATGAGAAACACATCCTCCAGATTTGACCAGAAAACAAACACTGACAGCACGAGCTGCACCTGATACTGTCCGAGGCCCAGAGCCGGACTCTGAAGCTGCTGAATGGTGACTTCGTCAAAGTAGCTGTTCTTCTCCCAGAGCAGCAGTAGCTGAAAACATGAAGAGCAACGACTCGTTTATCCTGCTACAAGTCAAATTGACACCATGGTGAAGCTTCAAATAGGAAGAAATGGGGATGGATGATCTTACGCGGGTGATTTTCTGCTGCTTGTCTTCCTCTACAGCCAGGAAACTGGTGCAGTAAATGGGAACCACAACCTTCTGTAGAGCCGCCAAAAGATCCCTCTGACTTTTCCTCTGACTGTGGAGAAAAATCAAGGTTTGCTCAATAAAACGCCATAAAACAAACTTGCAGTTGAAAAAAATAAAAATAAAATTGGCTTTCCCAATATGAGAAGTGATTATAATAACTATTTTCTAAAAATCTTTTTAGTTTGGAGCTTAAAATGTAAGTGAAAATTAATTAAATGAATGTTCAAATTAGGCATCAAAAATAAATGAATTAAAATAAATAAGTGAATATTAGGCATCAAATTCAATTTTTTAATTGAATTACCGACCAGTGTTGTTGCTCTCATCAACTAAAACTATTACATTGTTTTATGATAACTAGAGCCCGACCGATATATCGTTTTGCTGATTTTATTGACCGATATGAGCCTGTCACAGATATATCGTATCGGCGAATATGCCGCCGATATGAATTTTTTTACAGCAGATAAAATGCTTGTAAATGGTTTAATTATGTAGTTTGTCCAGCAAAGCGCGCTCCATTGTTTGCTACTGGCGACCTGGAAGAAACGCTTTAAAGCTTAAGCGTATGGAATACCATTGAAATTTTGAATGGCCATATCTCCATAACGGCGCGGCGGATCCACACCAAATTCGGGGGATCCCTTCTGCTCGAGGAACCCTCTAAAACGCAGAATCGAGTGTACATCTCGAGGCCCGCTTTCGATTGAGACCACCCCCGCGTCGATAGCCCCCGGGGTCCGGGAGTTACAGGCGGTTAAATTCGTGGTCGGGCGCCGACCGATCTGGTGATCCCAGGGGGCTACCAACACGTGGAGGGTGCCGTTCAAGAGGGCTCCTCGAGCTGAAGGGATCCCCCGAATTTGCTGGAGGATCCACCGCCGCGTTCGTGAGATAGTGACACCAGCCAACCACTTTCACTTCAGTAAGGAGGTCTATTCTTCAGGCAGCAGCATTCAAGCGTCGTCTTATTCAACCGTAAGTGCCCTGCGAAGTGGACTTCACATGATATTCCGCCATGATTCCAGTTCCAAGGGAACGTTCACGTTACATTCAAAGGGCATTAAAGTGCGCGATACGTGAATTTAAATAGTATTTATTTACAGAGATATATTATGTCACACTTCTCTAGTAAGTTTCATCTGTGTGTGAAGACAGTAGCGCAAATCCGTGAATGAATGTTCCGAAGTGAAAAACTTCAAGCAATAAAGTTGAATAAACTTCAACTTTACTGTTCAGTGCACTGATGTCAGACTCATTTTGCATAATAAAGTTTATTGTTAAATGCCCTGCCTCCATTACATATCTTTGTCACGTCATTATAGGTGTTTGATCACCACATTTGAGTTATCATTGTAAAAAATGTGTTTATGTATATATATTCTGTTTGTGTATATACTGTATTCTATATATAGAAGCAGTCAAAAGTTTGGACACACGAACGGGAAAGTGTCCAAACTTTTGACTGGTACTGTACTATAATATACACAAAGAATATCGGCCGATAAACCGATATTGACCTTTTTTTACTCCCCAATATCGGCATCGAATCAGCCCCCCCAAAAAAAACATATCGGTCAGGCTCTAATGTCAACTGAAATAAATCCATTTATTCAAACTTTTTTTTAATTTCAGTTAGTTTCCAAAGCAATATTTTTTCATTTAGTTCAAAGAGTCAATTTACTACAACTAAAATTTAAATGAATAATAAAAACTGAATAGACATTAAAATAATATCAAAACACAACTGCATTAAACTAAAGTGAAAATTAAAACAGAAAATATAAAAATATAGGAGAACTTGCAAAAATAAAATGAAGTGAAAACAAAGCGTCACATTATTTAATGTGTCATTTTTTAAATTTATGATTAAGTTCTTCTTGAGGTAAATCATTAAAATCACCATTAATAATTAACTCAAATTACAACTAATTAAAAAAAACATTTGTTAAATAAAATAAACATCTTATTTCAGTTAGTTTTCAATGCAACATTTCAAATTTTTATTTAGTTTAAGTTAAAGTACTAAAATGATTAAAACAAAAATTTAAATAAATTAAAAACTATATTTAATTACAAATTTGTATATTTTAACATTAAAAATATAACATTATAAATACATATTTTCTATATTATATAAATACTTTTATAAATATAGAGATATGTAAATATATTTAAAAAGTTAAGAAAAATTACAAAAATACACATCAAAATATAAAATAATAGAAATATACTTTTAATACTATCATAGAATAATAATGATACTAAAATAACACTCCCCGAACAGCTGATTTAAGTATTAAAATGCATTATAATGTGACAAAACAGTTCAGATAAAATCTCTGCATCTCACCAGTGATGCAGGACGCAATTAGTCAGATAAATGAGATGCAGGCGGAGTTCGAAATGTGCCTCGTCCGCAGTGATGCGGTTTCTGAGATGCGACGCCATCAGCTCGCAGTGCGGCGGGGTCTTAGCATTACTGAACATCCAGTTCTTTCCAGCCTGAGAAAGAGAAATAACCAGATAATGACTAATCTGAGACACATCAGACAGAGCGGGCATGAGTGAGGCAGGTTTCCGGCTCGTACCAACATGGCATCTTTGGTGCAGGTGTCTATGATGGGCTGGAGCAGGTTGTCGAACTCGTTCATGTCCAGCTGCGTCTCCACCAGCAGTTTCTGCATCTGCTGCTCCATCGCCAGAGAGATGGCGGCCATCGCTTGCGCCTGAAACCCAAAAACACATTTATTTAACAGAATATATTACTGTGCAAATGTCTGGGATCAGTAGGACTATTTTTGGGTACAAAATGAATACTCTTATTCCTAAAGGTTGTATGAAATTGATCAAAAGTGACAGTAAAGACATTTATTTGATGTTAACGATGTTGAAATTCTGCAGCAAAGCGATGACATCTCAGATCATTATCTAGTCTTGTGTAGACTCCAGATAGCTAAAACTGTCAATTCTACCCCTTGTTACAAGTATGGTAGAACCATCACTTCTACCACAAAAGACTGCTTTGTAATTCTAATTCCTTAGCATATCCAAAACCTCAGAACAACTTGAGGATGTAACAGAAACTATGGACTCTCTCTTTACTAGCATTTTAGATACGGTTGCTCCTTTACGCTTAAGGAAGACTAAGGAAAACAGTTTTGCACCGTTGTATAACGAGCGCCCTAAGAGAGGAGGAAAACAAAAATAGAGGTATTTCATGTTGCATGGCGGGAAAGTACCCTATCCTACAGAAAAGCATTAAAACAGCTAGATCTGATTACTTTGTCTCTTTTAGAAGAAAACAAACATAACCCCAGGTATTTATTCAATGCAGCAGCTAAATTAACGAAAAATAAAGCACCAACAGGCGTTCACATTTACCAACAGCACAGCAGTAATGACTTTATGAACTACTTTAATTCCAAGCTCGATACTATTAGATACAATTGTAACCATGTAGCAACAGTATCGCATCAGATAGTGCGCTGTAGATCCCCTGAGAAACAATTCCACTCATTCTCTACTATAGGAGAGGAAGAATTTAATAAACTTGTTAAATCATCTAAACCAACAACAATGTATGTTAGACCCTATTCCTCCTAAAAGAGGTGCTTCCAGAAGTCATAGATCCTCTTCTGACTATTATTAATTCGTCACTGTCATTAGAATATGACCCCAAAACCTTCAAATTGGCTGTTATTAAGCCTCTCATCAAAAAACCACAACTTGACCCCAAAGATCTTGTTAATTTCTGCTGAGTTTATTTGGTAGCAAGCTCAATACTCATATACGCATGAGCGCACTTTGGATGTGACTGCGCACCGCCTCTGGAGCGCGCGAGGACCGAATGGCTTAAAAAGATGTGCAAATAAATAATAACATTTTCTGACGATGCAACAATGATTTTCTATCAGAGTTAGTGCTGGCTGCAGATAAAGTCTTAATTGTTGGTGATTTTAATATCCATGTTGATAATGATAAAAATGCATTGGGATCACCATTTCTAGACATTCTGAGCTCTACTGGGGTTAGACAACACGTGTCAGGTCCTACTCATTGTCGAAATCATACTCTAGATTTAATACTGTCACATGGAATTGATGTTAACGATGTTGAAATTCTGCAGCAAAGCGATGACATCTCAGATCATTATCTAGTCTTGTGTAGACTCCAGATAGCTAAAACTGTCAATTCTACCCCTTGTTACAAGTATGGTAGAACCATCACTTCTACCACAAAAGACTGCTTTGTAATTCTAATTCCTTAGCATATCCAAAACCTCAGAACAACTTGAGGATGTAACAGAAACTATGGACTCTCTCTTTACTAGCATTTTAGATACGGTTGCTCCTTTACGCTTAAGGAAGACTAAGGAAAACAGTTTTGCACCGTTGTATAACGAGCGCCCTAAGAGAGGAGGAAAACAAAAATAGAGGTATTTCATGTTGCATGGCGGGAAAGTACCCTATCCTACAGAAAAGCATTAAAACAGCTAGATCTGATTACTTTGTCTCTTTTAGAAGAAAACAAACATAACCCCAGGTATTTATTCAATGCAGCAGCTAAATTAACGAAAAATAAAGCACCAACAGGCGTTCACATTTACCAACAGCACAGCAGTAATGACTTTATGAACTACTTTAATTCCAAGCTCGATACTATTAGATACAATTGTAACCATGTAGCAACAGTATCGCATCAGATAGTGCGCTGTAGATCCCCTGAGAAACAATTCCACTCATTCTCTACTATAGGAGAGGAAGAATTTAATAAACTTGTTAAATCATCTAAACCAACAACAATGTATGTTAGACCCTATTCCTCCTAAAAGAGGTGCTTCCAGAAGTCATAGATCCTCTTCTGACTATTATTAATTCGTCACTGTCATTAGAATATGACCCCAAAACCTTCAAATTGGCTGTTATTAAGCCTCTCATCAAAAAACCACAACTTGACCCCAAAGATCTTGTTAATTACAGACCAATCTCAAATCTCCCTTTTCTGTCAAATATGCTAGAACAGGTAGTATCCTCACAATTCTTAGAGAAAAATGGTATCTGTGAGGAGTTCCAGTCAGGATTTAGACTAGGCCTGTCACAATAACTTTTTGTTGTGCGATATATTGCCCCAGAAATAATAGCGATAAGCAATTTTAAAGACCATTTTATGCAACTGAAACAGCATAATAATGCAAGAAGGTCTACACACTTCCAAATGACAACAAACATTTAATTTTTAAGAATATTTAGATCATGGCAATTATGTATCAAAATATTAGATGCCTAAAAAAACTTGAATAAATAGTAAATAAACATTTTCTAACAAAAAGTGCAAAGTAAAAAAAATAAAAATGCACAAAAGAACTTGTATGGAGATATTTCCCTGACTTTTTCTCTGTAAATTAAGGGTGCACACTATTGCTGAAAAACACAATTACTACTTAACAGTCAGATGTCCGTATGCACAAAGGCACAGATCCCTAAAAAAAGACCATATCTGCAGATGAAACTTTTTTGTAGAAGCATTCTTTAAAATTTGAACTAGCACCAACTACACCACGTTATGTACGAGAAGCTGCAAAAGACACGGGCAGAAGTGGAATGTTCAAAACATGGTGACATTAATTTAATATAATGGGTAAATATAATGGGCGATATATTGCGTCACCAAAAATGATTGAGGTCATGTACATATATTGCGCGATAAGTCGATATATTGATTATTGCGACAGGCCTAATTTAGACCGTATCATAGTACTGAGACTGCTCTCATTAGAGTTACAAATGACCTGCTCTTATCATCTGATCGTGGTTGTATCTCTCTATTAGTGCTACTGGATCTTAGCACTGCGTTCGACACTATCGACCACAACATTCTTTTGAATAGACTAGAAAACTCTGTTGGCATTAGTGCAAGTGCATTAGCATGGTTCAAATTTATCTGACCGCCATCAATTCGTAGCAGTGAATGAAGAAAGGTAAATTATGTGAAAATACTTTTTTTTTTTTTTTACGAAGCATTAACATGTTAGACTGCACCCCATAATCACAATCAAGTCTAGAAAAAAAACAGTGAACCACCCCTTTAAAAGCGCTATATAAATAAAGTTGACTTTACAGCAGTCTGAAGGTCTGACCCCAGTTTGGTGGTTTTAGCTTACTACTAAATTTAGTCTCAGAAGATGAAGCAGCCGTTTAAATAGTAGATAGATTTAATAGTAGTCAAGCCAACAATATATTTAAACAGAAAACAGTTCTTTTGAGTTGTATTTCACAATATCACTGTATTTTTTGATCAAATAAATGCAGCTCTGGTGCACAGAAGATAAATGGACCGTCAAAACTACGCAAAGTCCCATAGACTTTTCATTGAGTGGGTCAAAACTTTTGTGCGCAGAAGATTTTAATGCACCTGTCTGAGGCTGAGCAGGTGTTGCTCCTGCTGCTGGAGGTTCCACTGGCTCTGCTGGATCAGCTCCTCCACAGACGCCGTGGTCGGCGGGATCGGCGGCGGCGGCGGGAGCATCGTCATCGGCGCAGGAACATCTGCAACCTCTTTATCCGGAGGTTTACAGAGCAGTGCTAATCACAAGAACACACAGATGCAAAAACTATAACTCCTTCATGCCGAGACAAACATCTGCCTGCCAGTACATCCAGATCTGATGGATGTGAGTGAACGGTCACACTACTGAAGGAAGCTTGACTCTCGTTTGAATGGACGTTCCCAGAGCAAAGCCATTCAGATCAGAGAAACATGCAGGAAATCACTCATGCTGGTTTGTTCCCCTCTGATTTTCCATGTCTGGAGACAGTCGCATGAAAACGGAATACGGAAACATTAAGCCGAGGAAAGTATGGAGATATGACATACAGAACTGCCTGCAAATAGCTGAGGGGAAAAGAAATCAAGTAAAGAAACCGAAAGAAAAACTGCTTGCTTGTGGCTTCCTTAGATTGAAAATGAAACAAAGTTTGAATCAAGATTTATATGGAATACTTGCATTTGCAAAACAAACAAAAGTAAACCAGAAGTTAAAGCAAGCTGCACAAGTTTATATATCAAGTATGCAGCAAAAAACAGTGCAGGGAAGTAAAGTTCTTAGCTCTAAAGGAATAATTCAACCAAAAATGAAAATTATATACTCACCAATATACTCAATATACTCTGCAGTGAATGGGTGCCGTCAGAATGAGAGTCCAAACAGCTGATAGAAACATCACAATAATCCTCAAGTAATCCACTCCAGTCCATCAGTTAACATCTTGTGAAGCAAAAAACTGCATGTTAGAAACAAACCCAGGTGTTTTAACTTTATACGGTTGCTTCTGGCCAAAAGATGAGACCATATGAATCCATAAATCCTCCAGTGGAAAAGTCCATCTGCTGTTGTCTCTCACATCAAAATCCATCCACATATTTGTTTAGAGCTGTTTGGACTGTTTTTGCTTGTAAACGATGCTTGATCTGTGCAGATTTCTCTCGCGATTCAGACCAGACCACTTTTTCACTGGAGAAAACATCATGTATAGAAGACTCTCTATCCAAGTTAAAAATGCATTGATGATGGATTTGTTTCTTACAAACATGCAGCTTTTGCCTTCACATGATGTTAATTGATTACTTGAGGATTATTGTGATGTTTCTATCAGCTGTTTGGACTCTCATTCTGATGGCACCCATTCACTGCAGAGCATCCACTGGTGAGAAAGTGATGCAATGCTACATTTTTCCAAATCTGATGAAGGAACAAGCTCATCTTCATTTAGGACAGTCTGAGGGTGAGGACATTTTCAGCTAATTATCACTTTTGGGTGAACTATTCTATTAATTCTTGGTTCAAATCCCTAAATATGAGAGATAGTAACAGCGATGGTTGGCAAACACTTCACAGTTGTTTTTGAAAGTTTCAACCAATTATTCATTTACACTTAGTCATTTAGCAGATGCTTTTATCCAAAGCGACTTACAAATTAGGACAATGGAAGCAATCAAAATCAATAAAAGAGCAATGATACGCAAGTGCTATAACAAGTCTCAGTTAGCGTAACGCAGTACACATAGTAAGTTTTTTCTTTAATTATATAATAAATAAAAAGAAAACAGATAGAATAGGAAAAGAATAGAGCAAGCTAGTGTTAAGACTTTTTTTTGCATTTGTTAATTTTATAATAAATAAAAAGAAAACAAATAGATAAAATACAAAAAGATTACAGAAGCTAGTGTTCTTCTTTTTTTTTTTCAAGAAAACAAGCAGTTAGTAAATGAATCGAATGCAAGTCTAAAAGGGACAAGATTTTTTTTAAAGAATGGAATTAGAATAGAGAGTGCATGAGTTAAGGCTTGTTCACACCGGGACGAATATCGCGCGCGATTTATCGCCGACGTTTAACGCCTCGTGACTAAACAAAGGGCGCCAATG